CTGGATGATACTCTGTAAGTTTGCCTAAGAATTCCTTTGAAAAAGCTGGTTATTGGCCGGGTGCAGTGGCTCACGCCTGTAATCCCAGCACTTTGGGAGGCCAAGGCAGGCGGATCTTCTGAGGTCAGGAGTTTGAGTTCAGTTGGCCAACATGGTGAAACCCTGTCTCTACTAGAAATACAAAAATTAGCCAGACAGGGTGGTCAGTGCCCTCCAGCCTAAGTGACAGAGTGAGACCATCTCAAAAAAAAAAAAAAAAAAAAGATTTTTTTTTTTGAGACGGAGTTTTACTCTTGTTACCCAAGCTGTAGTGCAATGGCACAATCTCGGCTCACTGCAACCTCCGCCTCCTGGGTTCAAACAATTCTCCTGCCTCAGCCTCCTGAGTAGCTGGGATTACAGGCACGCGCCACCATGCCCAGCTAACTTTTTGTATTTTTAGGAGAGACGGGGTTTCACCATGTTGACCAGGGTGGTCTCGATCTCTTGACCTCATGATCCACCCGCCTCGGCCTCCCAAAGTGCTGGGATTACAGGCTTGAGCCACCGTGCCCGGCCTCTGTTTTTTGTTTTATTTTTTTTGAGATGGAGTTTTGCTCTTGTTACCCAGGTTGGAGTGCAATGGCGCAATCTCGGCTCACTGCAACCTCTGCCTTCTGGGTTCAGGCAATTCTCCTGCCTCAGCCTCCTGAGTAGCTGGGATTACAGGCACGCGCCACCATGCCCAGCTAATTTTTTGTATTTTTAGTAGAGACGGGGTTTCACCATGTTGACCATGATGGTCTTGATCTCTTGACCTCGTGATCCACCGCGCCTGGCAAGAACTGGTTATTTACTTGACCTTTGTATGAAACTGTCTCTGAAACCCCCCATCTCTTACTTTTTAATAACCTTTGATTTTTCTGTGTTCGTTAACATTAAAACAAAAACTATATATAATTTATTATACCAAATCAATGAACTAATGAATACAGAAAAGGTTGGAGAAGCTTGTCTTATCCCAAACAGTCTTTTAGTTTAGTTTTTTTTTTTTTTTTGAGACGGAGTTTCGCTCGTTACCCAGGCTTGAGTGCAATGGCACGATCTCGGCTCACCGCAACCTCTGCCTCCTGGGTTCAGGCAATTCTCCTGCCTCAGCCTCCTGAGTAGCTGGGATTACAGGCACGTGCCACCATGCCCAGCTAATTTTTTGTATTTTTAGTAGAGACGGGGTTTCACCATGTTGACCAGGATGGTCTCGATCTCTCGACCTTGTGATCCACCCGCCTCGGCTTCCCAAAGTGCTGGGATTACAAGCTTGAGCCACCGCGCCCGGCCTCTAGTTTTTCTTTTTTGAGACAGAGCCTTGCTCTGTTATCCAGACTAGAGTGCAGTGGCACAATCTCGGCTCACTGCAACCTCTACCTCCTGGGTTCAAGCGAATCTCCTGTTTCAACTTCCGGAGTAGCTGGGATTACAGGCGCCTACCACCATGCTCAGCTAATTTTCATAATTTTAGTAAAGATGCGGTTTCACCACGTTGGCCAGGATGGTCCCGAACTTCTGACTGCATGATCTGCCCACCTTGACCTCCCAAAGTGCTGGGATTACAGGTGTAAGCCACCGTGCCTGAACTTTTTTTTTTTTTTGAGACAGTCTTGCTCTGTTGCCCAGGCTAGAGTGCAATGGCACAATCTCTGCTCACTGCAACCTCAGCCTCCCAGGTTCAAGTGATTCTCCTAACTCAGCCTCCCAGTAGCTACCATTACAGGCATGCACCACCACACCCAGCTAATTTTTTTATTTTTCACAAAGACAGTGTTTCACTATGTTGGCAAGGCTGGTCTTGGACTCATGACCCTCAGTTGATCCACTTGCCTCAGCCTACAAAAGTGCTGGGATTACAGGCGTGAGCCACCATACCAGCCGTAGTTTTTAACATTTATGAGGACACCAATTAAGCTTTGGAAAGGGGGAAAAATATCACAAATACTGATAGCCTGTATGGCACTGTTAGTGACATCCAGTACTGACAGTAGAAAATTAGGGATATGGAGAAAATATAAAGATTAGAACTTTATTTGGTCTAAGTGCATTCAGTGAATTTTTGAGATCCACCACTGTTCTCCCTGCTCCTCACTGCCTAAACTGAGCACTTTCTACTTGTTTCATGTTCTGAAGGTCTAAGCACAGAAGGTACTATAATTTTGTTTTGCAACAATGGCAAAAAGTATCTTTTCTTTTCAAAAGTTTTTATATGCTTTACTTAAAATGCCCAAACCCAAAAAGGCAGTATATTCCTGAGTTCACACTTTGTAACAAGTTTTAAACATCCCAAGGTAAAAGTAACAAAATTTTAACCGATGAGTTTCTTATTCTAAGACATATATGTGTGTGTGTATATATATATATATATTCATATCTGAGTGTTTCTGAAAATCATACCCACATTTTCATGCATACATTTAATGCAATAGCTTCTTTCTTCCTTCTTAAGAAGCTGTTTTTAACCCAAGTCTATGAGCAAGCCAGGTTATATATAGTATACTAGATGTTCCCAAAGAGAAATATTTCAGATTTGTTAAGGGTTATGTAAAGTACAAATATCTTGGTTCTCAAAAAGTCAATTTTAGAAAGAGGGAAAGAAGAACAAAAAGTGAAACTCCTTTCCATCTTAGGTTCAAATATTCAGAAATTTTATGGTTGCTACCTTGTATTATTACTTTATGTATGTTTTCCCTGTACAACTACGCTGTGAGGGTTAGGACCAGGATGGGGGTGGGGGGCAGAGAAGCTGCTACAGTGTATACACATGGCACATATCTATTATGTGCATTAATTATCTGTGTCATGTTTTGGGTGTATAAGTCCTCAAAATGTTAGAATTGCAGTGGCAGGCTGGGCGCGGTGGTTCACACCTGTAATTCCTTTGGGAGCCAAGGCGGGCGGATCACGAGGTCAGGAGTTTGAAACCAGCCTGATCAATGGTGAAACCCCATCTCTACTAAAAACACAAAAATTAGCCAGGCATGGTGGTGTGCACTTGTAATCTCAGCTACTTGGGAGGCTGAGGCAGCAGAATCACTTGAACTCAGGAGGCAGAGGTTGTAGTCAGCCAAGATTGTGCCACAGCACTCTAGCCTAGGCAACAGAGTGAGACTCCTTCTCAAAAAAAAAAAAAAAAAAAAAAAAAAAAAAAGGCTGGGCACAGTGGCTCACGCCTGTAATCCCAGTACTTTGGGAGGCCAAGGTGGGTGGATCACGAGGTCAAGAGATCGAGACCATCCCGGTCAACATGGTGAAATCCTGTCTCTACTAAAAATACAAAAAAATTAGCTGGGCATGGTGGCGCGTGCCTGTGATCCCAGCTACTCAGGAGGCTGAGGCAGGAGAATTGTTTGAACCCAGGAGGCGGAGGTTGCGGTGAGCCGAGATGGCGCCATTGCACTCCAGCCTGGGTAACAAGAGCGAAACTCCGTCTCAAAAAAAAAAAAAAAAAAAGAATTGCTGTGGCAATATTAACAAAAAAGAATTCACAATAAGTGCCATAGTAAAAAGTAGATACAGAGCACTGTGGAGGCATACAGGAAAGACACCTAATCCTTTTCAGCACAAATGCTGTACAGGTGCTGCCAGGAAAGCTTCTGGGAGGAAATAATGCCTATATTAAGACTTGGAAAAAAGGAGAAACAGCAATGTGCTTGGAAATACTGACAGGGATTTCTTCTCTATAATGGTGTAAATAAATAATTCTGCATGGTAGGTGCTCAGTACCTATATAAGGATATTAGGCAGATAAACCTCTTATTACTTTCCCTTTTTTTTGGTGGGAGAGGAGGGATGGGAGGAAATGAAAAGGCCAAGAATGAGTATAATCAAGTATAAATGAAAAGAGCAAATGCAGGATAAATGAATGAATAGTATAAACTCAGTTTTACACACCTTAGTTGAAATCTGGAATTCTAGCACTTACCAGGCTACATGATCTTAGGTAGGCACCCAACTCTCTAAGCCTCAGCTCTCTCATCTGTAACCAATGAAAACCAACTAAAAGGGATATTTGTGAAGCTGAAATGGGATATAATACATATTGATTTGTCTAGTTGGCTAATTAGTTTCCCCACCAGATCATAAGCTACAAAAGACAGGGGCCATGAAAAATATCTTATACCATTGTCTAGTAAATCCTTGGCAAAATGCTTGGCACACAGTTGTTAATAAATGTTGACTATCATTAAGTACTTTGTTATGATTTCAATTACAGCAGCACCATGACCTCAGCACAGTATTATATGTTTGATTATATTCTGAAGAGATCAAAAATTACTAACTGGTTCCTTATTTCAATGTAAAACATTATAAAATTAATGCTGCCCCTATACTAAAAGTTTTACTAATAACGAGAGTCATAAAGTCTTCTAAATCTGAACAAAAAGTTTAGAAAAACATGTCCTTGGAGATTATTACACAGTTAAATCTATATTGCAAGAAAGGTATAATTTTTTTTCTTCTCTAAAGAAGTGTTTCTCAACTAAGGGTACTTTTGCCTGCAGGGTACATATGGTAATATCTAGAGATATTTTTGATTGTCACAAATAGGTGTGTAGGAGTGTTACTGGCATGTAGTGAGTGAAGGCCAGGTATGCTGCTAAATATCCTATAATGCACGGGACAGCTCTCACAGCAACAAATTTTCCAGTTCAAAATGTCAATACTGGTAAGGTTGGGGGACAGAGGAATTGAAGGGTAGAAGGGTAGGCAAAGACATAAAACTGCATAAACATTTACAAGTAAGTTAGGTTTAATATTACCAGAATTCATGTGTTTTACTGCAACTTATTCATTTTTACCAAGTTTTAGATTTTTAAAAAGAAGTGTGAAGGGATTTAGATTTTTTTCGTAATATTTATCTACAATTAAGAGAATGGTCTCTCTAAAAATATTTCAGGTCCATGAAAATATATAAAAGTTTTCAATAACTCAGAAAAAAAATAATGTATAAATATAATTTCAGGTCTTACAAATGAAGCTCTAATCTGTATCTCAGAGTAAGAAGGCACAGTCACATCAATCTGAAAGGAGAAAAATGCATCTGGCTTATATTTTCTACTATTTTATCAGTACACTGATTTTCAATGTACAAAGCAGATTTAAAAGATGTGTTAATTTTATTCTTTCATATATGGAAGGTGGAAGGAACATGTGGCACTTTGCCATTCTACTACCTCTTCTTTGCCATTTAACTTTGCTATTTCTTTCTTAATGATCCCCACCCCTACCTCCACATCATTTCTTTTTTTCTTTTTTTTTTTTTTGAGACAGAATCCCTGTGATCTCTGCTTACTGCAACCTCTGCCTCCTGGGTTCAAGCAATTCTCCTGCCTCAGCCTCTCAAATAGCTGGGATTACAGGCACGTGCCACCATGCTTGGCTACTTTTTGTAATTTTAGTAGAGATGGGGTCTCACCATGTTGGCCAGGCTGGTCTCAAACTCCTGACCCCAGAAGATCCACCTGCTTTGGCCTCTCAACGTGCTGGGATTGCAGGTGTGAGCCACTGCGTCCGGGCCCTACCTCCACATTATTTCTGATACATGTTTTACAGCACATGTACACTAATTATTATTTAAAATTGCGAGGTGGTACCACACACACAGTAATTATATGATGAAACTTAAATTATGGCAGTGGAAATGTAAACTTTAGTTATTATCACAAATGGAATTGGTCAGGCACAGTGGCTCACACCTGTAATCTCAGCACTTTGGGAGGCAGAGGCAGGTGGATCACTTGAGGTCAGGAGTTCAAGACCAGCCTGGCCAACATGATGAAACACTGTCTCTACTAAAAATACAAAAAAATTAGCTGGGCATGGTTGTGGGCACCTGTAATCCCAGCTACTCAGAAGACTGAGGCAGGAGAATCGCTTGAGCCCGGTAGGCAGAGGTTGCAGTGAGCGGAGATCATGCCACTGTACTCCAGCCTGGGCAATAGAGTGAGACTATGTCTTAAAAAACAACAACAACAACAACAAAAAACAAATGGAATCATTAGGCAGAGGTGAATCTAGGTGGTAACATCACAAGTAGTTGATGCTGTTATTTATCAAATATCTTTTGGAATAACATCAATCTTTGGTTTCATATTTGAGAAAAACTGTGTCATCAAAAATACAATAAACTGACTTACAATTTTTTTTTTTTTGAGACTGAGTCTCACTCTGTCATCCAGGCTGGAGTGCAATGGTGTGATTTGGCTCACTGCCACCTCCACCTCCCGGGTTCAAGTGATTCTCTTGCCTCAGCCTCCGGAGTAGCTGGGATTATAGGCGTGCACCACCACACCTGGCTAATTTTTGCATTTTTAGTAGAGACGGGGTTTCACCATGTTGGCCAGGCTGGTCTGCAACTCCTGACCTCAGGTGATCCGCCTGCCTCAGCCTCCCAAAGTGCTGGGATTACCGGCATGTGCCACTGTGCCCGGCTGACTTACAAATTTTAAACAATAATTTTTGAAACAGTTTTAATAAGAAATCTAACCCATGGAAAGCTATTGCCAAAGCCTTTTGGATGATGTAAACATGAGGCTCTGTAGAATATAAAGGTGCATTAGGGTAAAAAAGTACCTCTATTGAGGCACAAGTCCAAAAACTTAAATAATAAAAAAGTCTTGTCTTATTTGAAGAAATGTTGGGGTTTATTTCCATATTATTAGAAACATATCATATTAATATTCAAGAGCAGTTATATAATTTTGTCATATATGCAAATATATTGAGCCTGAAAAGTAAGATGAAAGTCCTTAACTGTCTACTAAAATTATTTTTTTGACCATCATTTATTTTCATAGAAAAATCAAAGTGCCACAGTCCTCCAAAGACATCAATGACAGTATCAAAGATTCTTCTAAGCTAATATTTTACATCTGAAAGGTCTGGGCAATTCTTTGTGCATGTACCCACATAATTCAACAACTTGCAAAGTGATCATACCTCTTCAATACCAGCTATATTATTCACAGCCAGTTTTTTTAGAGAACTCTGAAGCTTTTTGTCATCAGCTGTAGCTGTTCTATGTACCACCTTCTTCTTTCTGCGAGCTGTACCCTGAAAAACAACCAAACAGAAGTATTAGCATGCCTGCTATCTGGCAACTCCAATCATATCTTATCTATCACGACAATTTAACTAAAACCCACATTAAATAATGGACAAAATAATAATGATTAATATTATAAGACTGCTCAGAGGTTGTGACTGTCAGCTGAATGCAGATTTTTAAAGGTTTTGCTTTCCCTTATCAGCTTTCTCAGCTTGAATTATTCTTTTTTTTTATTTTTTATTTTTTTAAAGGAGGGGGTTTCACCATGTTGGCCAGGCTGGTCTAGAACTCCTGACCTGGTGATCCACCCACCTCAGCCTCCCAAAGTGTTGGGATTACAGGTGTGAGCCACCACGCCCGGCCTGAATTATTCTTATCTAATATCCAGCCTTCATCATTTCAACATAAGATACTGTTTGCTAATAAAACATAATTTGTAACTTCAAGACAATTTAAGTACATTATAACAATTTTAAAACATTATCTTTTCTTATAGTAACTACCACTCCTTGCCAATAGTCTAAAGATATTCTCAAATTTTGGGAATTATGACGTAACTGAAAATTAGCCTATATTACAGGAGGTAAAAAAAGCAATAAATATATAAACAAATTAGATAACTTCAAATGGGATTAAGTACTATTAAGAAAAAAACAAAACTAGAGCATAGGAAGAACGACTAAGTAGGAGTAAAGCACTACTCTATTAGAAGGTCCAGGAAAGCCCCCTCTGAAGAGGTGGCATATGAGCTGAGACCCATAACTAGGGGAAGAATGATCTAAGCAGAATGAAGCAAGGTTGAACTTGTCCTTTCTAGAGAGAGAAAATGGGCCAGTATGCTAGAGCAGAGTGAACAATGGGATATGAAGAATATGAAATCAGAAAGATAGGCAAGATATAGCCTAGAATGCCATTGACAGGAGGTAGATTTTATTCTGATTGCCATGGGAAACCACTGAAAGGTTTTAAGCATGGGAATGACTTGATCTGGTTATTTATGACCAAAGTTGCTATGTGGAAAATGGATTATAATGAGACCAGTCAGGAGGCTCCTGTAGCTGTACTGGCAAGAGATGAGGGATATGGCAGTGAAGATGGTGAGGGGTCAGACTCTCCTAAGAGACCACATGACTGCTGATAAATTACATGTGGGATGTGAGAAAAAGAGGAAATTTGGATGATGCTTAGAACCTTGGCCTCAGCAAATACGTTAAATATTATACTAGTTACTGAGAAAGAAAAGGTTCATTTCTAAATTGATACTTTGAAACTAAATATATTTTTCGACTGAAATACTATTCAAAATAATGGATTAAATTCCTGGATCAGTTTATTAAGTCTTAAGGGTTAAATCTGTCTAAAACTGGTTTAAGAGTAAAGTGAAAGGAATAGTGGTTTCAATCTCTGGTTAGCTCCTATACTCAGTACTCAGGGAATCAGCCTTGTAGAGGGGAGACAGGCGCTTCAGTCTCAGCAATTCTGGTGGGAGTGGAGGAGAGATCTGACAGCAGAGGATGCCTTGAAATCTAGTTGCTGAAGGATTGACTATTTACATAGGCACTCACTTGTGAAGCAGTCCTGACTCAAGGACAGCTCAATTGCTTGCTGAATACCTCAACTGGAATGATCCTCAGGCACCTCAAACTCAGTGTATCTTAAAGCTTATCGGTCTGGCAATCTACTCTTTCTGTATTTCCTAACTTTTGTAGCCAGTGGTACCACCAAATACTCAGTCTCTAAAATCATGAACCTGAGGGTTATCCCAGACTCTTCTGCATGCCCTTCACCCCGCATATTCCATCAGTCACTAAATCATGTCAATTTCAACTCCTAAATTTGTATCCCATGTAAGAGGTCCCCAGCCCCTGGGCCACTGACCAGTACCAGTCTGTGGCCTATTAGGAACACGGCAGCACAGCAGGAGGTAGGGCGGGGGGGGCATGAGCGAGCATTACTGCTTGAGCTCCACTACCAATCAGATCATCAGATCAGCGGCAGCATTAGATTCTCATAGGAGTGAGAACCCTACTGTGAACTGCATATGAGAGGGATCTAGGCTGTGTACTCCTTATGAGAATATAACTAATGCCTGATGATCTGAGGTGGAACAGCTTTATTGCAAAACCATCATCCCCCGAATCTGCGGAAAAACTGTCTTCCATGAAACCAGTCCTTGGTGCCAGAAAGGTTGAGGACTGCTGCCTTACACTATAGCAATAGTCTCTCAATTGTTCTCCTCTATGCCATACTTCCATTTGGTTCCATTTTCCACGGTGCCAGCAGTTACCTTTCTAAAATGGCAGTCATTTCCTTCTTAAAATCCTTTAATAGTTCCCCAATGCCTACAGGATAAACTCCAAGCTCCTTAGTTTGGCATATGTAAGTATGATGGAATCCCAAACTACTTGGTCGTTTCATTTCCTACCGTTCTGTATCCATTAGGTACCCTAAAGAATAGCTGTACTGGCCAGGCACAGTGGCTCACACCTGTAATCCCAGCACTTTGGGAGGCTGAGGTGGGCGGATCATGAGATCAGGAGTCCGAGACCAGCCTAATCAACATGGTGAAAACCATCTCTAATAAAAATACAAAAATTAGGCTAGGCATGGTGTCTTGCACCTATAATCCTGGCACTTTGGGAAGCCGAGGCGGGTGGGTCTCCTGAGGTCAGGAGTCTGAGACTAATCTGACCAACATAGAGAAACCCCATCTCTACAAAAAACCAAAAAACCAAAAATTAGGCGAGGTGTAATGGCTCACACCTGTAATCCCAGCATTTTGGAAGGCCAAGGTGGGTGGATCAAGAGGTCAGGAGTTTGAGACCAGCCTGGTCAATTTGGTAAAACCCCATCTCTACTAAAAATACAAAAAACTACCTGGGTATGGTGGCACACACCTATAGTCCAGCTGCTTGGGAGACTGAGGCACAAGAATTGCTTGA